TGTCACCAGACGAATATATTGCATAGTTATCGACTGTATTCCCCACACTGTGCATTCCAAACTTGTGACTCATTTATTTTGAAGCTAGAAGCTTGTACCTCTTGACCTCCCTCACCTATTTTTCTGGTCTTGGGAGCTCAAAGTGGGGCTCAGACCCCTCACTCTTCAGGGAGAATCTCTATAATTGTAATTATCCTCCCCCAATTTGTGGGTGACCCAATCGGGGGCTTGGATCTTGACTATAACATGACTTTGCCCTTCCTACTCATCTTGTTGTGGTTCCTTCTTTGTATCTTTAGTCATAGATCTTTTCTGCTAGCCTTCTGGTCTTTCTCATCAAAAATTGTTCTGTAAGTAGTTGTAATTTTGTTGTGCCTGTGAGATGAGATAAGCTCAGAATTTCCCTACTCTACCATCTTGGCCACTCTCTGCCTATATTTAATTTCGTATTTGTAATTTTGTACCCTTTTTCTTAAAGAGGGCTCTCCAAATTGTTTGATCTTCAGGCCCCACACAATCTGGCCCCACCTTTGTTAATTACTGTATTCCTGGGGCCTGGAATGGTGCCTAGCAGGTAACACTCAATAAAGGTCTACAAATGAATGAATGACGTCTGGCATTTTGTAGGAATTCTGAATGTGTCTTCCCATTCCAGGGAGGGAATTTCTGTTCCTCTTACATCCGTTCTGTAGTTTGCTTCCACGTTAAACTTCTTAAAATAACACCTCCATCCCATCACTTCCCTATCCTAGAAATCTTCAACAACTGGCACATGAATGGAGAATAAAGTTCAAACCTCAGCCTGCCATTCAAGGCCTGCGACAGCTTGCTTTTCCACCCTTATCTCCTACTTCTTATCTTCATGAACATCCAACACAGACAGACAGATTTTTTATCACTCCATGAGCATCCTTACACCTTCCACACCACAAACCTTCACATTAGCTGTTTACATCATCTGGAGATCAACTTCCCTTTAATCTTGGTCATCTAGGACTCTTATTCCTACTTTAAGACCCTTCTCCATGAAATATTCCCAGGTGCCGGCAGAGCCAGTTTTCTCTCCCTTTTCTGAACCCTGGCCAGTAACCATTCTGTTACTCAGAACTGCCTTTTATTACTAACTATCTTCTATTGTATCTGGTTCTATCCACCCATTTGGAGTATTCAAGCACTCTACCCAGGGATCATATTCTCATTGGAGCCATCCCCAGTTTAGAAGCCCCAGTGGAGACTGAAGAGGCCCTGGGGAGGAATTTGGAGCCAAATCGGAAGAAATAACAGAATTTGACAGCTTCCCTGGAACCAAATAAAATCACCAGAAATGGGAACAGAAAAGAAATAAAGTCATGTAAGAATGGCAATACAATCCTTAATGTTAAGTTCCTAAGTGATGAATTCTTCATGGCAGCTCTATACCCATA